TGCTTTTCCTATCAGACAGGAAGAGGGCACCGCCGCGGGAAACACCTGACCGTATCACAGGGTTACCATTCACATGTGACCGTGTTTTATTTTTGGACGTTTTCTATAAAGTCGTCAGAGGGATCCGGGCTGGAAGTTGCTTGAAGAACGTTTTTTTTTTCATTTGAATTACTCTATGTATGCAATATAACCTTTATTTTTAGAGCGCCTTTTCTACACAAAGCAACACAAAAACATAAATTATAAACATAAAAAATATACAATCAGGGCATTAAAAACAAACGTTAAAAATCCTAAAACATTGAAATCATAATATCCACTGTGTATTAAAAAGAGTCGAGATAAAATCCTTCAGTTGTGGCACAGCTAAACAGAACTGTTTTTAACCTGGCTTTGAAAACTGCCAGAGTAGAAGCCTGTCTCACATTTTCAGGAAGACTGTTCCAGATTTTAGCTGCTTTAATCTGCCTCCCTGCGTCATTATTATTATTCTACAAATATACAGTTATGTACAGTTGGGCATCACACAGTTTAGTCAGGCATCAATTTTGCATATCTTCAAAGATGAGGGATGCCGGTTATTTTCATCATAGGTAAATCTCAGCTATGAAAGACAAAATGAGAAAAAAAAAATCCAGATTTGTTTTGTTTTAACTTCCATTTTATAAAAAAAGAAAAAAAAGGTATTTATAAGTGTTGGTGGAAATACATCAATAACAAAATTCCATCTCAATACTTTGTTCTATATCTTTTGTTTTCTCTAAATCTTTGCAAGGTTTCCCCACACTGTTGCTGGTATTTTGGCCCATTCCTCCATGCAGACCTCTCCTAGAACAGTGATGTTTTGAGGCTGTCGCTAGGTAACATGGACTGATAACTCCTCCAGAGATTTCTTATGGCCTTTAGATCTGCAGACTGTTTGGGCCGCTCCAACTGGGAATGATCCTGAACCGAGCCCATTATTTCTAAGGTCATTTGCATCACTCCGTCACCGTTCTCTGCTGCAGTTTGCGCCTCAGACTGTTTTGACTCAAGCTCTCGTTAAGCAGCAGAGCAGACCCAAGTGTCAGTGGCTTGTTTCTGTCTTTCACTCACTGCTCTGTCTAATTTTCTCACACGTGGTGACAGGTCCAGCCCCCTCCCCTCTCTGTCGTCTGTCCCTTTTGAGAATAGTCCAGCCAAAACACACGGCGTCTGCAGCCAGGCCGTCACCGCGTCTGCTCAGAATGAAACCTGATTTGATGATGAAACCTCTTTGCAACACGCGGCCAAGTCAAGTTCAAATTATAAGTCTGCGTTTTTTTTTTTTTAAGTGCAGCTCAGCAGAGAGAGGCTTCATGGGTCTCTTTGTGAGGACGTGAGGCAGGTTTTAATGTCTCTGAAGTAAAAGATAGATACCATTGATCACAAATGCCCTATACAAAATCAATTACAAAATGTGTATGTCCTGGTAAACAAAATCTCATCCCCAGTTTTTAGATGCTTTCCAGCTGTTTCCCCAATTCAAATTTATTGCAAAATCTATTTAAAGCTGGGGTAACTTTTTACAAAATTCCATCTCAATACTTCGTTGTATATATTTTGTTGGCAAAGACAGAGGTCAAATTTTTTTAATAAATCTTCACAAGGTTTTCCCACACTGTTGCTGGTATTTTGGCCCATTCCTCCATGCAGACATCTCCTAGAACAGTGTGATGTTCTAGGTGACGTTCGAATCCACTTTTTACATAGCCAATTTTTTCAAAAAGTTTCTAAAGTGCTGCACAGAGACCAAAAGTAACACATTCAAATATACAGGTTTGCCAGCTTTATATGAATCCAAAATAGAACAAGTAAAACAATCATTATGCATAAAGTTAAAACAATAAAAAAGGGTTATTAAAAAAAAGTACATGTTGTTTGTCCTTAGAGAAAGAGTCCTGTAAAAGTAGTACCACACCATGGTTTCTTCATCTTGAATAATGTACGATATAATAATAAGTAAGTGTTGAAAAATGCTTTGCTAGAAAATTCTATGTTCATTGACCTCCAAATACATAAAACTCAACTCTTTCATCTTATTAGAAAACATGTTTTTTTTTGCATATTTAGAAAGGGACAGATTCAGTGGACATTCTGAAAGTCATGATTACAGTATCTACTTTTCGCAGATGAATGACATGTACAAGCACAGCAGTTCTCATTGTACAGTCTGACAGCAGCAGGAAGGAAAGACCAGTGGGATCTCTCCTTCACACAGCGACGGTGAAGTCTTTGAGGTTCTCTCTTTGACATTTTTCAGTCTGAAAATCTGATATAACGAGACAGAAATAGATGAGAGAACACATTTTATTACATGTTTTTATGGTTTGAAATGTAGGTGCCCCATTTGCAATCTGTTCTCCAAGATCTGAAAATTGCAATGAATGATTAAGAAGTGAGGACTGTGTTGGAAAGTGTGGGATAACTGCTGCATACCGCCTTAAATGTATTCTAAGACATAAAAAGCAGGTTCATGAGAGAGTGGCTCAGTGTCTCTCTGGCTGCTGACCAAACATGGCCGCCTGAGTGACTGGGTGGCGACTTCGACAGAGTGACAAATCCCCGCTGGCGTCTGACTCAACGTCTTCTACAATTTAGTTCAGTTAGACAAAACTACGGCTGCGATTTTCACGGGATTAAGATTAGTGCACGGATTCTAAAGCGTGTTCTGCAGTGGATCTGGAATCTTCTATTTCAGGATTTTGTCATGGGCGTTTTACACACATCTGAGGATTCATGCGATTGTTGTTTCTTTGAGCAAGACACTTCACAATTATTCCAGTGATAGTGTGTGGGTGGTTTTGACAAGTATCAAAATGTACTGTAATTGTTTGCGGTTTGATTTTCATTTTAAGAGATTTAGGAAGAGCTAGATTTGGATTTTTTAATGTGTATTGGTGCAAAAGTGAATGCATAAATTATACTTACATAACACTATCACTAATAATATTCTGTATCTAAGAGAGAGTTTAGATACTTGTATATAAAAAGTATTGAAATCATTAACTTGCTTAAAAAGTAAATGCTGAAAAATAAAAGCATTTGTATGTACTTAAGCCGAAAGGTCTGGCTAAGTGTGGCTACTAGCTAACCACTAACACAATGGAATAATTTAATTAGAAGAGTGTATGTCATTTTGCAGAAAGTACAGATATTCACATTAAGAAGTAGAAGCAAAAAGTTGTCAAAAATAATCTATAGTAAAGCTCTGTGTATACTATCCTGGTGCGCACAGGGGTATTCTTGCACACTTTTTCCAATGTGGTTTTACTGCAAATGGCAAATACATTCTTGTTGTATTGTATCAGACAAAATACAGTGCTTAAAAGTAAAAGCAAACCTTACATCTGTAGTAAGTTGCTGATATTAAGGCAAATGTATTGTGCAAATGTGCAATGTTACACGTCGTTCAGAAGGACTAAGTGAGGACTGGAGCGGCCGTGTTGTAGGCATAATGACATATGGTGCAAAAACTATATACCAAGCTGCTAACCACTAAACAGATTTAGGCCGAAGCGGTTGCTCGACGCTTTTATAATTAGCTGCAGTGTGAAACTTTGCAGATGGAGGCTCCAGTCAAATGAAATCCTTGTGGGCTTTAGATTATGAGAGTTTTTCTGCCGGGGCCACCAAGACACCAGTTTACTTTTGTGTTACATTCTATGGCACAAGATGACTGCGTCCTCTCCCCTGTAATTATCTTTCTATGGGAGGCTGGTGACAACGAAAATAATCAAAACAAAAAACTCACCCATGCAGGAGAGAAAGTGTGCTCCAGTCTGGAAATGTGGAGTCACTTTCTCTGGACTTCAGTGTGGATTCAAATGCCAGCAAATGACCTCCCTGGCTACAAACTGCTACCTGTCCCTGCCTCTCTAAAGGGGAACAGATAATTAAGGCCCAAACTCCTTGCCCTGGTCCGTAAACACAGCTTGTCATCTGCTGAGCTCTGGCCAAAGTCGTACGTGAATTTAGCTGAATACAATTAGGCACGGCTTCAAATGTATTAGTCGGCAAATGGGAGAGCGGCACGTTCGGCTGCACACTGACCTTACTGTAATGAGGATTTGGTTTACGCCCGCACTGTCCCCACCCTGTGAAATATATGGGACGCAGCGTGTAACTCCTTCAGCTTTCAGAGTCAATAAAGCTCCCGCGCACTCATGCAACTTAAGGAGACTTTTACAACTGCTCAGCCACTCTGCCATAAATCTACCACTTATATTTAAAGAAGTAAGATCCATTATTTTTGGCTATATTCAAATTGTAGAAAAAACATGGTGAAAGAATGCTTTTTTTTGTATTTGTCTGTGTCTTGTGGTGTCTTTGTATTGTATTTTGTATGGACCTTGAGTCTGGAATAAGGATGTATTATTATTTATTATTATTTCTGTTGCTCTGCCCCATCCCTTCCATTAGAGGGAAGTGAAGAAATTGCTTTATTATTTCCAAATTAGAAAATTGCCAGCTGCAAACACGGCCCATTCGATTGTAAAGAATGTCGATCCACCTAAGAAATTGCCAAAACTCTTTTATGGGCAATTCAGCAGAAGAGAGTGTGATGTCATAGTGGTACAATGACATCATACTAAGGGGCGGAGCTACATGTTTGTGGCCAAAGTTACTGATAGTAGCGTGGACGGATCTAAAAACAACCCCAGGTTCAATTCACTTCAATTATGTAGCCTCAAATCACTACAGGAATTATCTTGGATACAAAGTTTACACAGTTGTCGATTCACAAACACTGATCAGAGAATCATATAATAAAAAAACACATTGGTGCATTAGGGGCAGATGACCAATGTCCATAAATGTAAATAAATTATCATAAATGTCGTTGAATGTCCTGGATCGTCACCACGGCCCTGGTCTGTTTATGATCAGGGAACGATGTTGTGTGATGTGGGTAAAAACTCAAAATCATATGCCTACTGTACGTGAGTGTTATAATCAATGCTTGTGGTTTTGTTTTCCAGATTACAACAGTAGTGACCAGAAGACCGCCTGCAGGAGACACGAGCTCTACGTCAGCTTTCGAGAACTGGGCTGGCAGGTAAAAAAATGTTTGAATATTTTCACAGACGTTGATAGATTTTGACATTTGAGTGTGACCAAAATATGCATGAAGAAATCCTGCACCGTTCCCTGTTTCCACAACAACATTTAGAGCAAATTCACGGATACAAGAAAGGGTCGCATACATGAAATATGAGTAATTACTATCTAAAAATAATGAAATAATCTGGTGACACTGATTTGGAGTTCTTAATCACAGCTACACCCAGTCTTTGTGGAATTTAATACATTTTATGCACGAAAAACTAAAAAAGACGCTTTGCTGTGTGTGAAAGTCCACCATGTGATTACTTAGATTAACGTTTCTACTTCCTCCGTTCTGGGTTAGAAAATCAAATACCTCAGCTTTAATGCACTGCCCCCTCTCTTTATATAAACTTAAACCTTTTCTGTTCAATAAATATGACTTTTTATATCCCCACAGAAAGAGTCGCATGAAACTAAAATGTTGTGAACAAATCTTCTAAAACGTATATAAAAGAGCTCTGTGAGTCACTATTTGACTATTTGGGCTGAAAGCTGGATTAAGGGGAAGAAGATGAATGAATGAATGAATTGTTCTTCTATACCAGACAATAGTAAGTTAGCGATGTTATTACCTTGACATGTTTGAATGGGTTAGGGTTAGAGTCAGGGTATTAACAGTAAACTTCCGTCTTCCTCAGAAGCCGTCAAAACATGTCAAGGTAATAACATTGCTAACTTAATACTGTCTGGTATAGAAAAAAAATAAATACTTTTATTTCTACTAAGAATACAAGATGAACCTTCCTAAACTAAGGAACAATTTTAGATGGATTTCATTATATACACTGCAAAAAGTGATGAAAATCAAGTCAATAAGTCAAACATATGGCAAAATGTGTCTGAATTTGAGAAAATGTTGACAGCCTTAAAACAATATTTTCCAATGGGACAAGCAGAACAATCTTGTTTTAAAAAGATACAAGAAATCTCCCTTTAATGAGAAAATATAGAAACCCATCTTGTTTTAAGACTTTCAGAATGTGCTCAAATTAAGATCAAAATCACTCAATTCAAGCATTTATTACCTCATATTTCATCATTTTTTGCAGCGTGTTTCCATTATCTGTGGTTTGAAAGTTTGGTTAGCGTCCCCAGCTTTAAATGAACATAAATTTGACACACTTAGAATCTACATCACACACAACGATGTGGTTTGATCTTACAGTAGACACTTTATCCTCCGGCAAAGTCAACAGTTTGAGCCTGTAACACAGCAGTAGTGACATCTAGAGGAGAGCTGCCAGTACGGAAGTGATTGAAAACAAACAGACTCCAGACAGACAGGACTAAATCTCTTTTGAGGATTTAACGCACTGGGAATTTGTCAAAGTGAAACGTACGACACCGGGAGCGATCAGGGGAGGAAGGAAGGGGAAAGAGGAGGAGCATTACGTCCGTGAGTGATTCCACAGACTGCAGACCTTCAGCTGGGACCTGTCCTCAGACGTGGGGTCAGACCTAAATTTATCTCCAACAGCTAAAACAATAAACTCCATGAGCTCACAACAGTAGTAGTTATGCTTTGAATTGTGTCCTGGTTCGAAAATATGAAGATGGAGAGAGTGGTTGCTCTGATCCGTGATGGCCCTGTAGGGATTGGGACGATAATCTTGGTCACTAGCATTGTGAAAGGTGTAACTTTGTAACTTTACCACCTCCTGCTTGTCTCTATAAGAATGTTACAATGTTAATAAGGGCTGCAGCGATTCAATACAACCAATCAATAATTCATCAATAATCAAAAACTATTGTATTCATTGATTATTCGTTATCTGCCCTTGTCACAGACTTCAACACAAACAAGAGCTGTGAGGTGTGATTATACGACTTAAAGGGCAGTAAATACAAAAACATAAAACAAAGAATTCATAGATTTTATTTCCAAATGGCAGAACACAATGTCACATAACTTTACTAATACAGGTGTTGGATGAAGCAGATGGTTATTTGTTCCCAGCCCCTGTCACCAAAAATGTCCAAATTTAGGTACAAACTAGTTTTGTTTGGAAAAAATATCTATTACAATGTCCTTAAATGGTTCCAGGTAAACCTTCTCTGCCTACAATTCACTTTGACAATCACAATTCTACCTTCTAAACAATCAAATGTAAAATCACGAAATTAATCGATTAGTATTTGTGTATGAATATATCACTTTTTTGAATGAGAATGCATGAGACAATACATTTGATTTAAACATTTTTCCTTATCACATTGCCACAAGTTGACAATTATTAGGAAAATAGTGAAACAGGTAATGAATTTAATTTATTTTATCATATGGCATTAATCTGTGAACTCCATGCTTAGAGGATATGTCCCCCATAAAATCACCTGTACAATAATTTAACAAACCTTGTTATCAAACCATCAAACCTGCCGGGAAAGCAACAGAATCTCGTACCCCTGAAGTCCCCCTGAACCTTTAACTGTTCGTTCTATAGCTCCTCTGACTAGGTTCATGCACTGGGATGTTCTGATCATATGAAGGATGTCTTCTCAGGACTGGATCATTGCTCCTGAAGGATACGCCGCCAACTACTGCGATGGCGAATGCTCCTTCCCTCTGAACGCCCACATGAACGCCACAAACCACGCCATCGTCCAGACGCTGGTGAGACTTCAAAATGAATCACTCAATGTGTTACTGGAAGTCCTTTATGATCTTGTGGAAGCGCTCACACAGTTGTCTCGGTGATACATGAGGCCTTTTTCTTTGTCATTATTCATAGGTGCATTTGATGAATCCCGAGAACGTCCCGAAGCCGTGCTGCGCCCCGACCAAACTGCACGCCATCTCCGTGCTGTATTTCGACGACAACTCCAACGTCATTCTGAAGAAGTACAAGAATATGGTCGTGCGGGCGTGCGGCTGCCATTGATGTCGCATACAGGACAGAAGATCGTCGAGTCGGTCTGGTTTTTTGGAGAGTTGCCGACAGCTTCAACAGTTCGGAAAATACATGTGTGAAAAGAGAAAGGACAATCCTGACAGTGACTTTTGTGTTCTCTGGTGGGCATCTGTACATGTGGGGCAGATTAAGCATCATTTGTATGTTGTGCCATTTGGAAGTCGATCATGAACTAAAGATACGGCATCTTTTCACCACTTAATGTTTCTGGGATCAACATTCCTTTTCATATTAAAGTAACAAGCTCACGACTTTGGACAATTCAATACCTTTGATTACAGCCTACACGATAAACTCATTGCATTCAAGTATTTTCACCACGATTCAAATTTGCCTTCCACAAATACATAATATAGACTCAACCGAAATGACCACGATCTATTTCAGAAGTGTGTTGCTCCAAATGTCCGCTCAGTGTCAATATTTACAGGCCGCAATGCACCGAGTCGCCTCTTCGTGATGCATGTCGTGGCTCAAGTGATGTTTTCTTCCAAAGAGGTAAAGAATACGGCCTTATCCCTCGGACATACCGCAGAGGACCATTTCCATGTAACTGCACTCAAAGTTAACAAACGCTTCCACCTCTGACAACCCATCAAGGAGCGTGGAAAAACATTTAACCAGTCAAAAACAGTTGGCTGAAGGGCAGCTGTGCCAGGCTTCTGAAATTAGCCCTCTGCTTTTTCAGCCCAAAGGTAAAATTATATGGAGTTTTTTTGTGCAGTGGCAAAAGCTTTCCACTCGCACTTGTTACTGTGAGCTTTGAACAACATGGACTCTTTAAAGGGACCTTATTTTATGTAAACTAGTAAGTACCTAATGTGCCTAACCATAAAGTACACAATATACCTCTGGTAAGCTGCTGTCTGTGTGACCATGTTAAAGACTGTAAATACTTGTACATTCTTTGCTTATTTATTGCACCTTTATATAAATATCACTTTCCTTATTATCAGACAGATGCAAGAACAAAATTATTTTTGGAAAAAAGTTTTATTATGAAATCTCATGTTACAACTTGCCATTAAACACTTTTGTACAAAATGCATGGGTAATGAAAACCCATAGCTTATAAAGAAAACTACTTTGTTACTGGAGATCCTGAGACCATGTGCCATGACAGAACTGAGCCTTACGTGGATTCTAAGTGCCTTAGAATCAACAGGACGACTGCACGATGCAAAAGGGGGAGACCACAAACTTCAAATATGAGCTTCAGAATGAGGCTTTACACAAAGAGGAGAGTCTGTACATTCCACTCGCTGGAAACGCTGTCGGTCTCAGTAATTGTTGAATGGCACATGGTCTAAGAGTGAAAAGCTGTGCATGGAGATGCGATGGAGGCGGATCAGTATCAGTTACACATAACAGACAAAACAAACATGAAAAAAGCAATATTATTTAATCATTATTTATGACAAGTTTGATGTGGTCTCCATCTCATCTCCAGAGCAGCACAGATCCCTGAGGGTTAAGTCACAAAATGGATAAAAAGTACCTTCAACTTAACACTCGACACTGGGGTAAGAGATTTCATCTCTTAAGTGACAATACATTTTAACCACAGAACCCATGAATAAAATCTTTAAAATGGCGTCAGAGTCATATTTTGATCAGAAACAATGTTAAACATTTACTGCTACAACACGTCAGCAAATGCAACGTGTTAAATCCTGATTGCTTCACATACACCACCTGATGCCCCCTGACACCACCTGATGCCCCCTGACACCACCTGATGCCACCTGATGCCATCGAGGCTTCACCATTTTAACACATAAAAAGTTGTGCACCAGCAATGAAAACATTCAATATCAAAAATAAAGACAGTCAGTGTGTGGTTGACTGGAAACCCAGAGAGCAGAGAGAGATATGGCTGAAGTGGGAAAGCTTCGTCCTGATATGCAGTTTACGTGAGCGGAGTGGTAGTAAGTGAGCGGCAAAGTGGAGTTGGAGATTACAGCTCGTCTCTGGCCTGTTTCATTATAAAGTTGTGGAGTGACTCCACGTCCCGACCGCCTTCGTGCTCTTCCCCCTGTGCACCGGCCCGGAACATCAGCAGAGTGGGGTATCCTCTCACCTACAACCACACAAACTGGATCAAACTGTATCCAAGTATTATTACTTACTATAACTACTATTTTTGTCCCAAAAAGAATCTTGTTTAAGTAAAATATTGTGGGTTAGTCTGAACAATCTGAACACGACATGCCATCTTCATCGTATTCAAAATAATGTAATCGTTTTATAGCCAATTGAGGCCAAAAATACATGGGACCAATTAGAACGAGGTCTAATAAACATATGGACAGTGATGATGTTTGAGACCATGTTGGTTTGGACAAGCAGCATAAAAGAATAAATAGATTAAGTTAAGCTTTTTATTACTTCCCTAAGCAATACCATTTACTATGCAGAGTAGATTATTGGATTGCCATGTACATCTAATGTAAAAAAGGTAAGCCTATATTCTAATTCATTTGTATGTATACCAAGCTTTGACAAACTGCAAACTAATTACATTCTAAATGAATCTAGATTTTTTTTTAAATGCGTTTAATATGCTCCTCATAAAATCCATCCTGAAACGTATGGGTTAAATGGGGAAGTGAAAAACACCTGCTTCTCTATTGAAAGCTGGTGTTTGATGGTGTAAGAGCAGCAGTTTGAGGGAAGACAGTACTTGGTAAGTAGAGGATGAACTTTGAAAACCAGCTTTGCAAACACAAGGACTTTTTACGGCCACAGATTGGTTTAATGATTCACCGCTCTATCTGCAAATAATCAGGTAATGCTAAACCTTTCAAGAGTTTGTTTTGGGACACTCCAGTAGATACTGAAGTAACATCCGGACATGTGTGTGGGACTTCAGTCCAAAATCACCACGGTAACCTTTGATCCTTGGGGTAGTCCTTTGAGTTATGGTTGAAAAAGAATTTAATTGGTTGATTACAACTGGCTTCATCCAACCACCAACACAATATTTGCGTCATGGTGTGATCTGAAAAAGGCCATGAAAGCAGACACAGTGCCAGGGTATGTAAACTTCTGAGCACAGCTGTGGCTCCCTCATAACCGTTTGTTTGTCTGCTTCTGACACGAGCCTACTTACAGAGTACTTGTTGCAGACTGTGCGCTCCACTGTGCAGTCCACTTTGGCAATTTTGACGTCAGCGAGGCCCGGAAAGTCCTTCTTGGAGAGGTCTTCCCAAGCTGGAGCCAGGTTCTTGCAGTGGCCACACCTACACAACGCAATTACATCATATTATCCCACTCGGCGGCTGGATAAATACATTTCGCACTGTGTAAATATCTTATTCGCATGCAACCAGTTTCTAAAATGTGGTCGGACAAATTAAACCGTGACTATTATGGCATTACGCTTACCATGGAGCGTAGAATTTAATGAAGGTAAGGCCTTTCGCGACGGTTTCATCAAAGTTGGCTTCTGTCAGCACCAACACGCCGGACTAGAGACGGGGAAGGGATACAATATTTTAGATTTATGATTCACAGAACAGATGCAAATTGACATAACCGTGCTTTACTTTGACTTCCTCTTCTGGTGCTTCTTCAGTGGGGATCTCATTGTCGCTGGGATCCTCTGGTTTTGGCTCGTCTTTGGCGAGGACCGTCTTCAGCTGGTTGTCCACAAAGTCTTTGAAAGAGTCCAGGTCTCTCTTGCCTCTGAACTGCTCTGCCTAAAAATAATCAAATATTGTGTACAGTCATCAACAACTCCAGAACAAAGCAATTCAAACTCTGGTCAAGTGTGCGGACCTTCTCTCCGTTGTAGAAGAACAGCAGAGTGGGATATCCTCTCACGCCGTTTTCAGAGCACACTTCGTAATGCTGCGTACAGTCCACCTGCAAACAGGACGTGGCGCTCGTGAGGTGACGTAAAAACAATTATAAGAAGGACCTATGACAAGTAAGAAATTGTGAGATGTTAGAGATAGATGAGCAGTGCATTTAGATTAGGATAACATACAGAAACAGTCTGGAGATTGTTCTTGTGATTCTTCTTGGGCTGTTCTCGCTCAAAGGAGGTGATTGGGGTAACGGTCACTCCAGTGTTAGCTAGCTTGTGTTAGCTAGTTGTTTTCCATTAAACTGATTTATTGGAAAACACCTCAAACCTCAAACCTTTGAACGTCAGTGAATGTTGTGAAACCATCCATACTGATCCTACCCACACTGAAGTAACTTTGCTTTGAGATCAGAGATTAAATTAGCAGTGTTTTGGTCTCTGTTTTGCTCCATTTTAAACTAATTCAGAAATGAAGTTGATACACAGAATAATTAGTTTTGTCTGTTAAAATGAGTGTACCGTGCTTATTGACACAAACCTTTCCAATTTTGACGTCCTCAGAGTGCTCGTAGGTGCCGGCGAGCTGCTCCCATGTCGGAGCCATGGCTTTGCAGTGACCACACCAAGGGGCGAAGAACTTCACAAAATGTGCACCTGCAGCAAACGCAAGAGTTTAAGTAAATCTAGAAATAAATAAAGTCTCTAATGACCTTTATCAGTTATCAAAGGGAGAAGACAAGCACAAAACATTAAAAACTGGTCAAACTTCCCACGACCTGCTGCAAATGAATTCAAACATACAACTGTTGTGTAGATGTTATACACAACAAATGACTCTCGAGGCTCTTGCCAGAATGTGAAGGTGGGACCCTTTTCAACGTGTGTCATTTCCTGCTGTGCTCCAAACAACAAATTCATTTTTCCATCAAAAGCAAAACATTTTACTTCACTGTCCCCAGGTCTTGGACAATTGTGTTTTTGCAGCAACCTTAAAATCCAGGAACAAGTCAAAAAGGTATAGACTGACGTTACAGATGTTCGTGAGAAGCAAGTAACATATGTAAATTAACTAAAACCTGAAACTCCTGCTGCACCAGTTCTAGTGGTTTTTAACACACTTAATTACTGCTAATGGGGACAACAGTTCAGCAACGTGCACTTTGGGAATGACCTTTGCAGACTGTCGAAACACACGTCAGTTTTACCCGACTGATGATGTGTTGTAACTCTAATAAGAATCAACGCGCTGATTCATTTGAAAAACCAGCTCATTTGGAATAACTGGATCAAAACAGTTCTACCCAGTTTACTCTGGAATGGGAGCACATAACCTGAATACTACTGAGACAAGGCCAACAGATGCATTTAAGAGCACAGGGAAAAGGTTAGGGTTAGTACAGTCCTTCGCCTCATGCATTATAGTTTTGTTTTTGTTTCATTACGTGCAGCAGAACACCTGGTGTGTTTAATTGCACTCGAAATGAGCACATGGGAAATTCAAATGCTCAAAGAATAACATTTTGCAAAAGTGTGCTTATACATGTATCAAAGCTACTATATTTTGAGTGATAAAGCTTTGAAAGGCTACAGCTGCCCGCATCTCGACTGAGAGGGTCTATTTAAGAATGCTCATTCTTATGCTTTGTAAACTCAAGACATTTTCCCAAAGTGGCATGAATAAAGATTCTCTTATCTTCCCTCTGAACATCTCTCTGGCCACTTGAATTACTTCTACAACAGTAAAAAAACAAAACAATTACCCTTTGCGATGTGTTCTTTGAAGTTGTGGGAGCTAAGTTCGTACATGCCCTGCTTTGGCTCAGGGGCTTTGGGAGGTTCTTGTTCGGTCTCTGGCTCCTGAAGACAATGTCGCAAAAGGAAAATTAAGACTTCTCACAAACAGATGGACACATGCGAGATGGACGGAGCCACAACACTCACAGCGGGCTCATCCTGGAGTGTTTTAAGCATCCAAGTCTCCAGGGACTGCACATCTCTGGGACCCTGGTACTTCTCTGCCTCCTGACCTGGTCTGAACAGCTTTAGTCTAAATGACAAGAAATACAGTTTATACCATTGAGGATAATAAAACCACACAAAGAGCCTTTATTCAATTCAACTTGTAGCATCTATTAATTGCAGATAGTAATCTAAATAAATAAATACACGGTTAGGCATTTGCCACACTGTGAAACATCCCGGTAATTTATATGGGGTCAGCTGGCCATGCTCATCACCAACCAAAGATAACCACTGCAGACATGTGAGAAGTGGATGTTTTCTGTCAATCATTATTGTTGAGATCATTTTGTCTCTTGGTGCTACTGTGACTCAACATGACAAATATGTTCTGCACATATATGTGACGTAGCCTTACGTTGGGTAGCCCCGGACTCCGTGTTCCTTTGAGCAGAACTTTGTATCCTGCACACAGTCGACTTTCACCACATACGCCGGGGGATCGTCCATGCCGTTGTACTTCTCTGCCAGCTCGTTCCAGGCAGGTTGAAGCCTCTTGCAGTGTCCACACCTGGAGACAAAGGATTAGGGAGATCCTGTCAGTAAATGTTCTGGCACTCCAATCTTTGACTTGACATCTGAGGTAGTAGACAATGGCCTTCACAAAATGGACGAACGCAAGCCAAAATATACAACTGATCAGGCCTTGAGTAGGTCACGAGGACTCCAATTGTCTATCTGTTTGGACTAAAAAAAACACATGGGTTTGGCTCTTTTTAGATTTTATGCAAATTTCATTATAGATTTTTTTCTGTCAGTCTGTCTGAATTAACTGTCAAGCATTTTCAACAGTATCAAAAAGTAAAAAGGATAAAGGGGTATAGGAGACAGGTTATGCAAAATATACGTGTTTTTAAGAAGGTGGAACAACCTGTAAAGTGAGAAAAAAGCTGATTGTAGAGTTATTAGAAGAAAACCTGTTCATGTCCTACAGAGTACATCCCAAAAAGAATGACATGTACATTTTTGAACCACGTCTCCTTGGCACAGATCCAACTTTTCACCTTCTCCATCCAAGTTATCTAATGCATGGTACTTTTACTGCATATATATTGTATTACTGTTATAGAATAGTTTGCATGGCGTTGAGGATTTGTGTAATGTGGTCAGATCAGAGCCTCCAGGGGCATGTCCAGTGCAATCGCTGCTTGCCACGTCGCCTACACTCACGGCTTCATAAACTTTATTTTCCCTGACATCTGCACTTTATCTAAAACAACCAGACAGTTTGCAGCATGATTCTTCTGTTTGATTTAGTGCACTCTCACACTACATAACTTTGAATTAGATCCATGCTCGGGTTAGCTTATAGACTGTATGCTAACACTAGCTCAGTGGCTAAAAAGCCGGTAGCTTCTTTCAAACTCACTTCTCCAACTTTTAAGGGTTAAACAACAACCAGCAACAATGCCAGAGCACGATGTCGCTTCTATGAGTATGTCTTTGCAGAATTGTCCATTAAAAGTGAATATTGACTTACCACGGTGCAAAAAACATAACAAAATGCGGCGCCGTGGGCACAGCTTCGTTGAACATTTCTACAGTGTACGTGTGTTTGGCGTGTTCATCTTCCTCTGCCTCAGTGTCACAAAACACAGCAGAAAACAATAATATACAGTTAATGAGACTGAGGATTGCTGTGCATGTCAGTGCCGAGGCCATGGTGATGTCTCTGTGGGATGAGCTTCCTGCTGCTGGGACAGACTGTAAAGGGCTGTTCTCTGCACACGCCTCCTCTGCGCGGGCACGTCAACACGCACATGCACTGGATCTACGGAAAACTACAGCAGAACCATAGACTGTAGAACCGGAGAGAGAGCGATCACCTGCTATAGATCTGCACTAAACACTTCCTTCATGTGCGACTCTGACAGGTTAGAAGAAATGTCAGTGTTTGGAGAAGTACGGAAGCCTATTGGGCGAAACTTAACAACACACAGCGTAGACCCATTAAATTCAATGTATGTTTAAAAAAGCCCTAAATCACAGTAATTAATCATTTGGGAACACAGATCAGAGAATACACCTTCATCTCATTCGAAAACATGTTATATGTCACTTTTACACTTAGATCTAAAATATCAGTGATTATGGGATAGTGGGTTGAGTGATTTAAATCCTATATACAAATATAGAATTATCAAAGTCATGAAACCACTTTTTTCAGCATGTTTAACTATATGTTTAACTATTTCAATATTCGACTAGTTGCTTTTTTCCCTTTAGCAGTCCAAAAAAATACAAACGGTTTTAGAGCGAGGTAGTATATGGATTGTATAATATTGTTCTATTTTTTGTGGATTAAAGGTTCAGTCCCTCAGCTTTTAGATGTTTTGCTCTCAATCATATTTCAATTCAAAACACAAAAGTAAAAACAGTAAATTTATGATTTCTCATTTTTGCCCATGTACAATTGACTATTGAGTCAGTCCCTTACTTGGTGAGCGTAATGTGGAGAAAGACCCGAGGGAGCAGAGACACATAACATTAGACAAACTTTTTAGTAGATCGGAAATATACATGATTAAAAAAATAAATCTTCAGGCTTGGTCACAGTGGCCCTGAGGCTGGAGATAGCTGCCTCCCTACAACAGTTTCTTGCTGGCTATTCACTATTCACTATACTCACATACTGGATTCATCAGATAGGCAATGTGAAGTGTCTTGTCTATCCACAACAGTATCCACAACATAGAGCAAGACCACCTTCTTTTCCCAGGCAACATTATACATTCTCATCACTGCCACTTTTGTCTTAAATGGTTTCTAGATTGCTCTTAATGATCACGCTTAATGATTATTTTATTTACACTGCTTCACAATTTCAACATCTTGTCCTATATTTCGGTAACGCTGAGCTCAGTAGATGACAGATTTGAGGTTAAACTTGATTTTAAAAGTAATAAATCAATAGAACATTAAAGGAATACCAGATGAGGTCATACCACAAAGGTTAAATTCAAGAGCAATTAGGACGACATAAAGAGACTTGTGTAAAGACTGTCCAGTGTTTGTTGATAGATTTTAAATGGTCCAATACGCCATGCTCCAGTGCACTAGTTTGGCAGACTCCATAGTTTTTCTTCACACCTGAGAAAGGCCTTTCTTTCGCTCACTGGCTGCCCTCACAGTGATAGCTTCTCTAAATGCATTGAGACATTTATGAAATACCTAAAAAGAACAAGCTACAGGTCGTCTAAACTAGAGCAGGGGCGAGGTTTACTGAGTCAGAATTTACTGAACCTCATTATGTTTAAATGGATTTTTGCAGGAGAAGAAGAAAAAAAATCAAATGTTTTTCTGCAATTTACAAATGTGAGTAATAGACAAATGGAAGCAGCAAAAATACAGTGGAATAATTAAATAGTGTAATGTTATTGCTATAGTTATGCCATATTGCTCAAATATAATGTATTTAAATATTGGATTTCTTCTTTCGTCTTATAGAGGACCCTTTCCTTGGTCCCCTTTATTTTTTAATTTAGAGCATTTTAGTCTGGCTGGTTTCATCCAAATTAAAGTTTGAACTCACCCTTAAACATACAGATTAATTTGCTTTATGGCGCATTGGGTCATTTCCAGCGTGTTTATATGCTAATATGCAGAAACCAATATTAACAACCTCTTTGGAGTAATTAAAACAGTATACAGTAGGCATTGTAAGTATGCAATATTTGCTTATTTCACAGACAATGTACTATTTTGATGATATTGCATTATTATCAAACTTCAAATTTTAAAATCTTCTCAAATTATTAATGATAAACTGGTTTTAAATAGCGCTTATGTCATTGTTTCACACAACATCATTCATTCACTCTGTACAAGGTGTGGCAAACTACAACTGAAGCCACATCTGCCCTGGGATAGACTGACTAAAATGAGGCTGCCTCTCTGCGCCATCTGCATCCACTATACCAATCACGCAATGGGTGAGGTGTCTTGCCCAAGGACACACTAAACAGTTTCACACCATTCCAATAGCATTAAATCTGTTTCCCTAATATGTACTAAATTTGCCCTTCCCTGCTTAGCTTCTGAGACCTGACTGAAATAGACCTGAGCTATAACTGCTGTTCGTTCACACTTATACATATCAAACAAAATAAAAACATACACACCAAAACCATCAGCATGGCCATATTGTGCAGTAATTTGGTTTTATTTAGTCTTGAATCCATGTGTTTTGCAGAGTTTTGAAGGCATGTGCTTTGAGAGATGAGGTTGCAGCCTGGGAACAGCGTGTGTGGAAGTGGGTGAGAATGGGCCTACCATGCACGGCGGCTGTTTGAAGGCAGCCGCCCCGGGTTGAGGTGTTTATGAAGTGTTCCTGCTCTCACGGCTTCTGTCGGGACATTTTCCGGAGTTCCCTGGCAACCGTTGAAACAGCGTGGTTAAAAACAAGGCTCTCTCGTGCAATACTGCTTTTTCCAGGATAAAGACACGGCAATAGTCCTGTGATGTTCAGTGATTTAGATTCTTACAGTGTGAAGATTTCTGATGCAACTCTGGTCAAAAGAACAGATTGTCTTTGAAATCCTTCCCTAAACTAAATCTGAGCCATATTTGAAAGTTGAAAGTTGTCGTTCTTGTGCCGCACTGTGTCTTTTTCTCTCCTTGTCTGGGTTTCCCTCATCACCCAAATCAATCCATCTTTATTTGTAGAGTGCTTTTCCTACACAGGGCAACACAAAGCGCTTCACAGTCCACACCACCCAAGGCACAAATCATCACATAAAACATTAACACCAAAAACACAATTAAAAACACACAAGTAATTAAAACTACTAAATTATTAAAATGAAACAAGTAATTAAAAACATTTAAACATTGATATGGAATGTATTACTGTTGTACTTGTATTGTTGTGGTATTTTTTTCGCATTATCATGAAAAATTGAGCAACGTTTTTTGTAAAAACAATCAAAACCATTAAAGCATGAACATCACATAAAGGAATAAACTAATAAATAACAACAATGAATAAAAAAGAGTAGGGCTAAAATCCTTCAGTTGCATGCATGGCCAAACAGAACCATTTTTATCCTGGATTTAATCAAAATAAAAAGGATTAAGTAGGTATAGGTAGGTAGGTAATCGCAAATAGCAAAGGTACTGATCTGTGGACAGTGAAGTCCCCATAGAGACATAATGAACTCAAGATGAACTCAAAATGAAGTTAATATTCCAGTGTAAAATCCATGTTAAGAAAATGCTGTAGTTCCACATTCTCTGAAACATGCACTTGTACACACAGCAGATACATTTTACTGTTGAATCTGACTTCAAAGGTAATGCAGTCTTCTGATGTTGCGACAGATCTGATCATATTCCCACTCCGATGAACCACCACACTGTCAGGAATGTGCAAGCTCCGCCCACAAACGTTTATTTGAGATTAAAAAAAAATGGCCTTGACGTGCACTCGTGACCTCTTGGCTTTGTACCCCCCCCAACAGAGACTGAAAAACGATACACTGAGCTGCTTTTGGACTTTTTGTGAGGGATAAAACTCTCTCCATCTGGGGCCTATTGTTATCGTGGCAAGCCGATAACCACACATCATTATTTAATCTTAACATGTCATACGGCCGCGCTAAATCAGACCAAATTGCTGCTGACGCATTTTGAGTTTCCCCCAGTGAAGCAGAGGCCGGGCATATTTGCGGGTGTCTACTGGTTACTCTATTGTTGAGAGCGGGCACCTGGCCAGAGTGGCAATAACATGCTGTAATAGGAAAAATGGAAGATTAATGGACTCAAGAGAGAGAGGGAAAGTCTGTTTGTTTTCTTAATTGCCTCGGGGTGTGAGCTGGATTGAGAGCTGCATCGGCAGGTGGAAGACCCAATTTTGGGACCTTGTAAAGAGTCGTATTTTCTTTTAGTGCAGGAATATTCAAAGTTTTACCCCGGTTCCATTGTACCCTCCCTATGTCTTTTTTGTTCTGTATTTTGTTTCATTACATTTTACACAGTACAACTAATACACACATGAAATGGGCTTAAGAATACCGGAAGACGTTCAGTTTTTAGTTATTCTGCCAGAACTATCCAACTTGTGGCCCGGGGGCTTAGACAGGCCCACCAAACGATCTGATGTGGTCCATAGTTCATCTTCCAAACACAATAATATATACTTTTTTCATCTGTTACCTGCTTTGTCGGGTTGGTTTTAGTGTTGACGAAAACTTATAGCAGATACCGCCTACTGTTCATTATTAAAACCAAATATTGATTGTGCTGTGGAGTCCATTTACTACCATGCAGAAACCGAAAAATCTACCACTGGAAACAGTGAAGTCGAAGAGCCCTGCTTTAACCTGTGAGTCATTCCTCATACACCCTTAAACACCACGTTTTGACTATCTCAAGATGGACACTGTTTAATGTTATTGCTATTTCTGACCAGTCCTATTTTTATCATGTGAACATATGGTAATGACTCTCTTAGACGCTCCATCTGTGCAAAGACTTTTACCTGCGCCCCAAGACACCATCTTCTTCCCATAAATGAACATAGTGTGCTCCAAAGCCAG